GAGGTCTAAAGGGGGGGGGGAAATGCTGACTTTTGTTTTGTATATTTAACCAGTTCATCTCTCTCTCTACCCCCCACCCATCCCAATACACCTTATGGACCAGAACAATCTCTACTTCCTCCTATGGGCCTGTTTATTCGGCAATAACTTTGTCATTACTTAACCATGTCACTCCACCGTAGAACGGGAGAGAGGTAGATCTGTATTGCCAGAGTTCCGTTTCTAAACGGCCCTTCAGAAAACACGCACGGCACCCATGAATGATTTTGATCTGAACCTTCACTGGACAGCTCCAATCACGGTGCCAATCAGAGGTACTCTGTACCTTGTGATCAATGTGATGACCAATCGCAGCCATCACAAATTTAAACACTCTAGACCCGCCCCTTCCTCTCACAATGTAAGAAACAGAGGAAGTAGTACTATTCAATGACGTCTGAATGAACGAAGGGATCATTAGCAGCAGATTGATTGTGAGGGTTTAAAATGGAGTGTCGGGGGGGGGTTATTTTAACCCTTTCCTCTCCTCATCAGCTGTACATCCCAGCTCCCTATGTAACCGGTATATTAACCCTTCACCACGCTTACCCTGCACATAGACCCCTCATCTCCATCGTCCCACTGTATGTGACCTGACCATTATAGAAGGAATATCAGGAGGGTGGGAAATACTCTCTCCAATACTCAGAGCCGGCGTGGGACCCGGCACCTGTCACATGCTGAGAGGTCATATAACTACTGTTAGCTCACGTCCTTCTCACTGTCTCTCCAGCTCTCATTGGATGGTGGACAGAAGAGGGGGCAGGCACAGCTAACCGAGCCGAAGCGAGCCGAACAGCGTTCGGCTATTCAGCGCGACTCAGTATGGCTGATTTCAGCTGCACATCGGCTGCCTTCGGTCAGCCAAACATGCCCTGCGCCATCGGCTGAGCCTAAGTGCAGAAGGACTTCGACTCAGCCGATCCAACATCTGGAGCCGAAGCTCCAGCAGCTCACTCGCTGCGGTTCGCCCCTATTCGCTCAGGGTCCGAACGGCAGTTAGTGAATAGGGCGGCGTTCGGCTCAGCTATTCTGCTCAGTACTTCAGTGGTACCGAGTATAGAAAATAGTGAGAGAAAAAAAGTTTAAAAAAAGATGTTTAAAAATGTAAATAAATACATTTTACAAAAATGAGATCATTTGCAAGGCGTTCGCCCTGCTTCGGCTGTCACTTCGGCTCAGTATGCCTTCGGCTCGGCTGGACCACTCAGCCGACCTTTGGTAGCTGTACGGGGTATAGCGAATAGCCGAACCGAAGGGCTTCCGCAACCGAAACTAGCTGAAGCTACGGCTGGATCCTTCGGCAGCTTTGTGAATAGACCCCTCTAGGGCTGCAACACCTAATTGACATAATCGATTATAATCGATGACTGAAAAAGTTGTCAACTTTTTCAATCATCGATTAATCGGCTTCCGATTGGTTGGCCCTGTTCACGGTACCACACACACTGCGTGCGGCACCTCCTCCCTACCTCACGTTCACCGCTGCCAGACCCGCCCGCCTGCATCTACGCTCCACACGCTGCACCTCCTCCCCGCCTCACGCTCACCGCCTGCACGCCCAGAACACCAGCAGCTATAGAGGAACAACAAATCCCAGCAATAATATATTAAACACCCTGTATAATGTATTATTGCTGGGATTTGTAGTTCCTCTATAACTGGTCAGTGGTAATCTGCATTGTGCAGTATAAACATTATACGGTGCAATGGAGAATACCACCAGCTATGGAGGACTACAAATCCCAGCAATAGTACATTATAGTATAATGTTGTACTATTGCTGGCATTTGTTGTATTCCTATATAGCTGCTGGTATTCTGCATTTCGCCGTATAATCATTATACAGCGCACTGCAGAATGCCACCAGCTATAGAGGACTACAAATTCCAGCAATAATACATTATATACAGTGCAATGCAGAATAACCACGGCTACAGAGGACTACAAATCACGGCAATAGTACATTATGGTATAATGTACTATTGCTACATTCCTCTATAGCTGCTGGTATTCTGCACTGCGCCGCTGTACAATGTACTATATTGCACACCACACTCTTTTTTTACTTCCACCGCGCCAATCTTGCTCCCGTGATGGACTACAATCTCAATAGAAACTAGTAGTCCATCACTGGAGCCTTTTTTTTTTAATCCGATTAGTCGATTAATCGAACTTAATAATCGGCTAACCGATTATGAAAATAATCGTTAGCTGCAGCCCTAGACCCCTCAGCTCACATTCTCCAATGTCAGTCATTCTCATTAGTGAGCAGCAGGGGGCGGCATGGAGCCAGACAAGGTCTTGGCAGATAGGAAATTACAACAGAGCTTCTTAAAGCAGAACCCCCGGACATCACCGTAACCATTTCCCCCGTCCAGTAACGTCTGCAGCAAACATAAGTTTGATGTTTCTTTATACAACGGCTTTTGTTTCTATCAGAACTGCTTGTCTTCCCTTTCAAGCCAATGGGAATGCAACAACAGCTGGATGCAGCTTAGGAGGAGAACTGCAGATCAGATGTACCCGTCAGTGAACCCTGAATGATCTCAGAAGCATCTCAAACTGATGCCATGTGCAAACTGAATGTACTTGAAAGCAGAAATTATCATTAACCCTTGCGGTAGGGCCACCCCTGCACTGCAAGGGTTAACTTCTCGTTTTGGTCTAGGGAGGAACATAACAAAGCTGTACTCACCCGATACTCAGAGATGGCTGGCTGTGACAGTGCTCCCTCCTGCCTGACTCCCCGTCTGCTGCAGAAATGGTTTGTCCCTCGGGGTCCTCACATTCAATACACGCTGTATAGAACGTGATGATTACAGGACCTTAGACCGCTGCAGCGGAGGTGGAGAGAGGTTTAAAGGAGAACTATGAACTGGGCGGATCCCGGCACAATTGTCGGGATCCGCTTCAGCTGCGGCGTCTCTGTATATAGGGAGCTACAGCTCGCGGTATACTGAGCCTAGGGTGACGGGAAGACGCTAGTTTGTGTCCTCCTGTTACCCTAAGGAGAACTATGGGGAAAAGCCCTGACCCCATAGTTCTCCTTTAAGGGACTGGTCAACAAGCCGGCTCGGAGGATCGAGTAAACCTTTGTTACTTTCCTCTCTAGACCAAACTGAGCACTTAACCCTTGCATTGCCGGGGTAGTCCCACTGAAAGGGTTAATAATAATTGTATTCAGAGTTCTTCTTGAAAGCAATGATACGACCTCTAATACATCCCCTACTTCACTACGGAACACAGCAATGACGTAGGGGGCGGAGGATGGAAACACAGCGTGCAGCAGAGGAAAGGCCTCCGACACTCCTGGAAGAGGCGGCAGAGATGGAAGAGACGGGAGGGAGGAGACACGGGACAGTGGAGAAGAATACATCGGTTGCTGAATTCTATTACATCTGACCTCCAGCCTTCCCTTCAGTCTTCACACTCCTCTCCTGGACTGAGCGGCACTCGCATAATAACATCCTGGAGTACCGTGAACCCAGCTTAGAATGACACCACCCTGGGGAGAGGACAGAGGACAGGCTGGGCTCACAGGAAACGGGCCGCTCTGCCCTGAAGATGACAACCAGCAAAAAGCTACACAGACTATAACTAAGGAAAATGTAATGACACTTAAGAGAACTATGAGGTAAGTGTTTTTCCCTATAGTTCTCTGTAGGGTCACAGGAGGACATATACTAACCTCCTCCCGTGACCCAAAGCTCAGTATATAGCAAGCTACAGCTCGCTATATACTGAGAGTGCCGCCGCCGGGACGGATCCCTACAACACTGTCTGGATCCACCCAGCTGCATGAGTGACAGCTGGCTCTGCCTATCTAGAGGCTGTGCCCGCCCACTCCCTGTCCATTCCTCCAGTCAATACTGGAGGATCGGAGAGGGGGGAATCCCAGTGGGGAGTGGTGACTGACAGTCACGGCTCTCTGCAGGGAGATGATCGGGAAGTGAGCGAGCGCCGGTATGTGTTCCCTCACTTCCCGATCTATAGAGCCGACGTGTGCCAGCTTCTTTGTCACATGTCGGCTCGAACTATGAGGCTGAGTGGAAATCCCTCCCCTCATAGTTCTCCTTTAAGTTAGCACACCCCATGAGATGAGCCCCCCGTATACCTCGATGTGCTCCGTCTCCTCACTAGCTTGGTTCGGCTCTTCACTTTGTAGCTGGAATTCCCAGAGTCCCTGAAAGAGGCAGCACCGCCGCTCCCTGCGGAATGTGACGACTTCATTTCAGGAGTCTGCGGCCCCGGAGCGGTTCTGTTAACGGCAGCTTGGCTGGAAGAGACCGGCACGGACACGGTGCCGGCCGCGGGCTGAGCTTTCCACTTGTAGCGGTTTTTGGGCGCACATTTTTGGTGTGGGCTGTTCTTCTTTGCTTTGGCTATGTTCCCACCGGTTGGAGTTTTGACTTTCTCCGTAGCTGCGCTGACTTTCTTTGCGCTTGGGCTGACTTTCTTCACAACCGAATTTGTTTTAGGAGAAGCGGCCACCCAGGTGTATTTAGTCTTGGAAGACCTGAGCACCCTGGATGTGGTGACGGCAGGCAGAGTGTTTTTAGGTGGGTTCAGGGAAGAGGCGGGGCTGACGAGTCTGTTTTTGGCGGCACCGACATTTGAGGGAGGAGAGCCAATGGCAGACTTGGGGAACGGAACGGGGAGGTTATTGGAAGGCGGCAGCGTTCCTGCAGATCCCCGGGTTGCTTTGGATAAGTTCTGGGATATCTGAGGAACCTGAAGAGGGGTCACACAAGGTCCCCTGGAAGACCCCTGGGAATTTTTCCTGAGTCTGACGCCCCACTCTGCAGACGTAGAGGGCAGAGCGGCTTCATCTGACAGCGGCTTCTGGGTGCTGGTGGGAGGCGGACATTTTGCTTTAGGCACAGCGAGTGTTCTATTATTATTATTGTTGGGGACAATCAGGTTCCCTGGAACTTTGCTGACTGTTGCAGCTTTGGGTGTATTATTGTCCGCTGTGACTTTCTCTGCATTCCCCTTATTGGGAAGATTCGCTGGATTGCCGCTTGGAACCACCACGGGATGGGGGAGGTTGTGTTCTGCTCCACGAGAAGTCCTATTTACCAGGGAGTACTGTGCTCGCCATGTGCTGCTAAGACCAGGCTGTCGCGGTTGGTACGCGGTCGTGGCAGCCCCTCCTCGGAAAGAACCTCGAGGCCTGTACTGTGGCTGTGATGGGTTCCGCCATCTTGGTTGTGCTGGTGCTGTGGTTGCTGGAGCATTGCCATGCATATGTTTGTGTCTGCTAATAAGACCTGCCGGGAGATGTGATTACTGGTCAGGGCGGAGTAAGGACAGCGAGCAATCAAATACACACAGAACTCCGACTTATTTATTCCATTCCCACTCTACCCCTTGACTGGAGCTCCTGTCTGGGGCCCTAGCCACTGTCACCACTCCTTTCCTCCCCTCTACGATCTCCTTTCCCCTAGTAGCCACTCTCTCCCCTCCTCTATGATCTCCATCCACTCTGTGCCCCGCTCTCTCCCCTCCTCTATGATCTCTGTCCACTCTGTGCCCCGCTCTCTCCCCTCCTCTATGATCTCTGTCCACCCTGTCCCTGTTCTCTCCCCTCCTCTATGATCTCCATCCACTCTGTGCCCCGCTCTCTCCCCTCCTCTATGATTTATCTCCCCTCCTCTATGATCTCTGTCCCCCGCTCTCTCCCCTCCTCTATGATCTCTGTCCACTCTGTGCCCGCTCTCTCCCCTCCTCTATGATCTCTGTCCCCCTGTGCCCCGCTCTCTCCCCTCCTCTATAATCTCCGTCCCCTCTGTGCCCGCTCTCTCCCCTCCTCTATGATCTCTGTCCCCTCTGTGCCTGTTCTCTCCCCTCCTCTATGATCTCCGTCCCCTCTGTGCCCGCTCTCTCCCCTCCTTTATGATCTCCATCCACTCTGTGCCCGCTCTCTCCCCTCCTCTATGATCTCTGTCCCCTCTGTGCCTGTTCTCTCCCCTCTTCTGTGACCTCTGTGCCCACTCTCTCCCCTCCTCTATGGTTTCTTTATCCTCTCTGTGCCCCGTCTCCCCTCCTCCATGGTTTTTGTCCCCGTGTGCCCACCCTTTGCCCTCTTCCATGGTCTATCTTCCCTCTGTGTGCGCTGTCTCCTCTCCTCCATGGCTTCTCGCCCCTCTCTGTGCCCACTGCCTCCCCTCTGTGCCCGCTATCTCACCTCCTCCATGGTTTCTGTCCTCATCCATAGTCTGTCTTCCCTCTGTGCCCGTCTCCCCTCCTCTACAGCCTTTCTCTCCTCTCCTGCCTCCTCTCCCCTCCTCTATGGTCTCTGTCCGTTGTGTGCCC